GTATATCAGGTGGGTCCCTTCCCAGCATTTTGTTGGATCATAACATAGAGGTGATTTCCCTAGCGGCTCTCTTCCCGTGATTAATTTTATTATTTGGGGGGGGGGTGTATGTCAGGTGGGTCCCTTCCCAGTATTTTGTCGGATCCAAAAATCCATTACCATGTTCACAAGAGCCCTCCATTGGTCCTTATCCTGAACCAGATCAGTTCAGTCCATACCATCCCATCCTATCTCTCTAAGATCCTCTTTTAATATTATCCACCCACCTATGTCTTGGTCTTCCTAGCGGTCTTCTTCTTTCTGGCTTTCTCACCAATATCCTGTATGCTTTTCTCTTCTCATCTTTCAAACATTCCCTCTTTTTATCCCTGAAACTCCTGCTGGCTTCATGTCTTATAGTCAGATTATCCCCATTTACGAGTATTTCAATTATAACCACTGCAGTTTGTCTTGTTTCCTTTGATCTAGTAATTTTGAACATCCTTCACTGAACCATGGCTTATGCAGCTTCAATTCATAATAACCTAGACTCTCCTTGGCAGAAATTTTGATATTTCCTCTCATAGTTTCCCAGGCTGTATTAATATCCACCTCATCATCCAAGTTTTCCAAAGCCACGAACCTCTTTGAGATTTCAACACGATACTGCTCTTTGCCCCCCCAACTTGTGTAATTTCTTGAGACTGAACCTCTCAGTATGAACTCTGGACATTGCTAGTTTACTCACTGCCAGTCTCTCCATAATTTTTACCACCACAGTGGTCAGCATCACAGGCTGCTGTCCTGAATGATCAGACATCAAGTATACTTGAATGCTCTCTCCTTTCTACTAAAATGTGGTCAGTTTGATCGTGGGTCTATCCATTAAGGAGATGTCCAAGTAAATTTATGAATATTACAATGTGGCAACATTGTACTTTTGACAGCTGGATTTTTGGGTGTAGCAAAGTTTACTACTCTCCATTATCATTACTAATATCATGTAAACTGTCATTCCCAGTTGTTGGTTTGAAAATGTCTTCCCTAACTACTTTGGCACTGAAGTCTCCCAACAGACAGCTGGCCTTCATGTCACCACTTTTATCTTCTGTTGGGGCATGAGCATTCAGAACAGTGATATCAAACCAGCGACCTCTTAGTATTATGTACAACATCCTATCACTAACAAACTCTGCCATCTCAACTGTCGATATGATTCTCTTAGGCACGAAATAATCTGTACGTAATTCATGATTCCATTTCTGCTTTCCATAGAATGTATATTTGCCTGCTGGATTGGTGCCACTCCTGTCCCATCTGACCTCCTGTACTCCCACTAAATCTAAATTGTTTTGATTTCTTTTGCAACCTTTTTTGCTTTTGCTTCTTAGATTCCATGCACAAAATTTCATGTACATTTCAGGTCATTTATCCAAATAATCTGTCCAGGTTTGAGGCCCTCTGTGACATTCTGACAAGCTTATTGTTTTACAGTGAGGAGATGTTAGGCCCATACCCAACCCCAACCACTCCTTGTCGGCTGCCCATGACTGCTTATTCAACACACTCGCAGCAACCCTCCACATCTGGAGGCCCTCTCCTCCATCCCCAACCTGAGGGCATGCCATGCGCCATATCTCACATTCCTCCATAAGTGTACATTTAATACAGCTGGAATCTTCTGAATCTGATGTAACCACCACCTGACCACCAGTAAACAGCGACAAAAGGAAAAAAAAAAACGACATCCTAGCTTCATTCCTTTGGTTCCTCTACATCCTTCTGACAGCTGTCAGCTTTACTCTCACTATACTTTTTTTCAATGGCTCTTCCAGTCCATTCAGGGCCCTGGCCTCTTCTTCAGTTCCATAATAAATTTTGACAGATGGTAGGACTCCTTGGATGAGCGATCAGCCCAATCACAAGTCCACTGACTACACACAGGACACCACAAAGACAGAATAAACCCATACACACACCAAACATCCATGCCTTAAGTGGGATTCAAAGCCACGATCCCAGCATCTGCACAAATGAAGGCAGTTCATGCCTTAGACCTCATGGCTACTGTGACTGGCTCTTCACTACATTGCTAAACATTAAACATCTAAAAGCCAGTAAAGAAATTGCATATGTAAGATTTGAGGTTTTCACAGTGGTGACTATGAAGAAAGCCATCTTCTGGGATGTGGCGCTGTCTAGGAATTGTGTTAACCGACGTTTTGGAGGTGATACGTTCCTACGAAACCTCGGTTAACACAATTTCTACACAGCGCCACATCCCAGAAGACAGCTTTCTTCAAACTGCATATGATTTACAGCTCTTAGTCTGAAGTATATTAGTGGTCTAAATCAAGTTTGTCAGTAACCAGATTCGATACTTGTGCACTCACCCTGTCTCCCTGAAAGCCCGGCTGACACTCGCAGCGACCAGTGATGTGATGACATGAGGCTCCATTGTAGCAGTCACATATCAGGTTACAACCTTCACCCCAAGATCCAGCTGGACACCGGTTAGCACAAACAGTACCCTATGGACAGAATTACACATTATAAGGCAGGGATTACTGTCTCTTCTGCATTTTAGGAAGGCCTTGGGTCTGAAGCTGGCTATCTTACTCAGCTTCAGTCACAGTTTATTTATGCTCCTCTATATTCCCATCACATTTCATTACATTTGTTTTCTAAGAAACCATAATATAGATGGTATTCTCTTTAACCAACTTTGAACATTTAATCACACATAAATGCTTCAGACAATTCAAGTCTGTGGGAAAATAATTGCCTGAAATTGTGACCGTCAACCAAGAAAAACATTAATCAGAAATAGATCACATTCATAAGCGGGGACTGCAAAGATTGATAAGTGGGCTGTAATGATGATCCAAAGAGCAGATATTGTTCCTATTTACATGTATTCATCAACTACAGCCCTCTCACTATAACCTGTCATCAACGTACACTTCAGAAGTTTAACCAACTACATGTAGCAGAGGGCTTTTCAAGACGTTGAGACGACATTTGGCCAGATAGGAAATTTGCTGCCTTTTATAAAACCCAGTAGTTCATCACTGAGTTCACAGCAGCCTGTCACTGGAACCTGCAATGAGCCAGATGAATCCACTCCACCCCTTCACACTTCGACTCTTTTAAGATCCATTTTCATATTACCTTTACATGTACACCTAGGTTCCCCAAAACGTCACTGCTTGCTCATTTCCTTTGTTTTCTCAGGGTCATGATGACAGACCCAACATTCATCCATCATGATCAGGTGGTCGAAAAGTTCCATCTTTTCGTCTTGACACAACTGCAAAACTTTCTTTGCCACATCCATCCGTTATTGAACTGCTGACAACAATCGTGGAACCCAACGCACAGTGACCTTTGTCATGTGTAACTCCTCATGGATGATGTTGAAAACCAACCCGTGGCTAATGCGGACCTCATGAACTATAGCTTTGATAGTTATGCGCCTATCGGATAGGATCAAAGCTTCCACCTGTGCCACAATTCCCAGTTCCTCAGCAAGAGATGGTCTTCCACTTCAGGGTCTGTCTGTCCACAATGAAAGTGCCTCTTCCACCTGACCACTGTGTCATATGATAGTACACCTTCCTGCTACACAGCAGTCATCTGGTCATGGATCCCCCTGGCAGACTTCCCTTGCAAATGCAGGAACCGTATCACAGCACGAGCCTCAACTTTCTCAACTGGCATCGCCATTTTGCTTCTACCCCTTCTGGTGGCTTCCTCTGTCCACTTGGCAGAGGAAGATTTGACTGTTCAGCAAGCTCAGGAAATGGGCTATCTCCTATATATTTTGGAATTATGATTTTCTCATGGTGATAATTAAAACATTATGACTTCCCATCATACAGTTCATGGCAGTGACTCTGCAATTTTCTGACACGTAATGAACAGCATCACTGATGTGTTATGTATAAGTGACAAATACAGCCAACTGACCAATCACAACAGGATACTACAGTACAGAATTTTTCCTCCACAGCTGGACCCATACACTCTGGTTGACCGTAAGTCTCCACTTTGACATATATAAAGCTGCATGGACTCCAGCCCATTTTGAAACATCTAACATGTTTTCATTTTCATCAGTTCTCCAACCCTAATCTACCCTTCACAATATAATGTGTCCTGACTGTGGATTTATCCGTGGGGACCTCTGGTATTATTACATAGTAAAACAGCTACTCCTCTTTTTCTTGCAACTTTTATGTAGAACTTACAGGAAGTGTGCAACTTCTAGTGTAGGCATGACTACTCTGTACATGAAGCAGCACAGATCCTGAGTCTTTAAAAACTCATGCCCCATAGCCATGATGTTAAGTCTAAATGAGACTGACCTCATGCCACAGCTCTCAAGATTTATCACTATAACTCTGTATGTCTTGCAACTGCACTGGACTCCTTGCTAGTCATCTGAAGTATGTACATACTGTGTGCTCAATACTAGCCTCTCTTTCACATTACCGTGCCTGTACACATTGCATCATATCATTCTGCATACTGAATACCTACTAATAAAGGATTATTCTTGTAACATACACACTATTCATGATCATTAATGCATTATTTGTTAATTTCTAAAGATGCAAATTTCTGTTCTTCTATTCCAGCAGTCCCAAGATGTAAATTTCAGTCCTTAGGAATCTCAAGAATCCCACAACCACAGTCAGTCTACATGAGTATACCACCATCATCCTATGGGATGCAACAAGGGTCCTTCCACAGGAACCAAGCCTTTCCCACCATGCTATCTCAACATTTTCCTAGATGCACTGGGACAAACTACAAAAGAATCTTAGGTTATTCTGTTATCTGGTCACAGCTTTCTAGCCCATGTCATACTTTCATTTCCATCCCTCCTTCCTCCTGTATTTCTTCCACATCGTCTTTATTTGATTATTCTATCACTATTCCTCTCCTCCTTCCTCTTCCTTCCCTCTCCTTTACATCAGATCAGTTTAGGTAATTATTATTCAAAACATTACAATGCTACATACAGTATTATTTGAATGTTTTCCATGGAGTTCATGCCCTTTGTGACCAGATGCAACCATATATACACATACTGGTTTCTAAAACAAAACATCAGGTGGTAAGCTACCACAAAATGGTTTTAAAAATAAATTTTAAACTAACATTGTACTAATATTTTAACTGAAAATTTAACAGCATTTAACTAGTTAAGAGTACTTTTGGAAGAAGAACTCACAGTCCAGCCTAGAGTACAGTAGCACTTGCCCGAGGTGGGATTGCAGGTTCCTCCATTCTGACAGCGACACTCTGACAAGCACTCTTCCCCGTGCTTTCCCTCAGGACATCGATCCTCACACCTGAACATTAATATTTATAAACTGAGAAACTCAAGACTGATCAGCTGAAATGTGTGACTTCCTAATGTTGTACCACTCAACCAAATTCTGTGAGTGTGGGAGTCACTTTAGGCAAACAATTTTATATGCATCTTTCACCCGATTTATATAATTTTTTAATTAATTTTTTTTTTGTTCAGTTTCGGCTTCTGCAATAGTTCATGGGTACGCTAGTTATGAGATATACCATAGCTTCCAGACATCTGCCTTCCCAGAAATCACTGAATTATATTTGTTCTTAAATACACATTTCTTCATTCATGAATATAAGATGGGCCCTCCCCCCCCCCAAAAATTAGCTTTGAATTAGAACAAAAGTATGAAAACACCTCATGATCAGGTGAGGAGTACTATTACAACATTAGCTTTCTAGAGGACTGCTCCATGGAGTGAGTAAGTGTGCAACTTTCCTCTCAATCACAACTATGTAAAAACAGCAATATATGAAAATTTCTTACATATTTTTGAACCAAATTTGAGAAACAAAAATAGACAATAAACCATATAAGTCAATATAGTACTCGTACATTACGTGGGGTCAGGTTTACAAGAGAGGTTAAAAGTTTGGAAGTGTTTTCTCACAAGGGAGATAATAAAGTTCTGCCACTGCAGGAACCTATATTTCTGTCAACAAAACAATTATAACATAAATTTATATAACAGAACATAGTTTTTGTTCACCCACTTATCACAACATTTCCTCAAAGCAAAATTCCGGATACACTACCAAATACGCACATCACGTATGGCAAGGTAAGTTTTCTGCCAGCACAACAAACATGGTTTTACAATCAATGAATACTCAGGCTGAATTTTACTTTCTACCGCTACATGTTTCAGTCCTCATGGGACCATCATCAGGCAGTATTATGATCACATGACTAAAGTTACTGAACACCTAAATATGGATTCCTATTTAGTGCAACATGTCCATATTATAAAGTTATGCCTAAGTAAAGAATTACAATACTGACTTTCTCAAAATATTAAGAGTATACAAAGAAGCTGTATTAAAAATTTATATTAAAGTATTAGCATGTAATGTTTATCGAAGATGAATAGTATGTTGGAAAGATATTATATTACAAGGCAGAGCCTTGGGAATAAAACTGAAAGTTATACAAATAAAACATAAAAGTATTACAATTATTAAGATTATTGAATGTGATGTTAAAATTTCTCATGTAATGTTCAGAGTTTTCAGCATTGTGTGAATGTGGGAAGCCTCGTTGTTGAGCATCTCTCAAGTTGGATGTGACACACACAACAGGATGCACAGTATCAAAATATGCACATCAAACCCAAGAAATTTCCACATTTCTCACCAACTTTTAACATAAAATGTACAGCTGCCCTACTTACAAAGGTCCTGTCCAGCCTGGTGTGCAGTGACACTCCCCTGATATGTGGTGGCAGGAGCCGCCATTCTTGCACCGACACTGTTCAGCACAGTCCTGCCCATATTGGGTGGGTGGGCACGTCTCACTACAGAACTGCCCTCGCCAGCCCCTAGTACACCTACACTCCCCGCTGTATGGGTCACAGGATGCTCCATTCTGACACTGACATTTACTGCCACAGTCTGGGCCCCAGCGATCATGAGGGCATGCTGTGAAAATACAATTCTGTGACAGTTACAATACACAAAAATTATGAGTTTCATTCCAGAGTTACTTCTAACTATTCAGTGTGGCTCAAGAGCCTAAACCATTGATTTTTTCCTTGGTTGAGAAGTCCCACAATATACAGCACCGTTCATTCTCTTGTCCTTCTCTCTAAGCATACAAACAGTAAATCTGAAATGTGCAGGCAAACTGTGGGGGATAAAATTAGTTCTATGATCAGAAATAATTAAATATCAAGACTAACAAAATATACAAATTTAAAAGAAACATTTGCAAAATATGTGTACTCCTAACTGTGACACACCTTTCCACTTTAGTTAAAGCTTTTGTAACTCATAACTTTCAGATTTCTTAAATCCTGCAATTCTAAAATGATGAAACCTTCACTTAACTAAGAGAGAAGACCCATAACAAATAGTGTTCCCCATGCTTAACCCTCTTGGATAATAATTTAGCATGGCTAGCATTACTTACAAATGCTGCAAGTAGGGCCACCATATCCTGTTTCACATTTGCATGTGTCAGGCGCGATGCAGGTTCCATGCAAGCAATTTTCAGAACACACAGGAATACAGCGATCTGCAGCATTGCTCTTGGCGTAGCCTTTGCAGCAGTCTTCTACAGGTCGTGTCTTTGCTAGAGACTGACAACACACACCACATATTGGGCTTGTAAAATAAACATGGAGTATAAAACCAAGTGAAATTCATATTAGTCTAGTTCCAATACATACAGATAATAACACTTTTGCATGCCTTCCTCCTAGCTACAGTATGTTTTACAGACAATGCCAACCTGGTGTCAATGTCTGTCTTGTGCGTTAATTCAACTTGACAGGAGAAACAACCAACTGTATCACTTGTGCAGGTCTGGGGGGGGGAGACCCTTGGTATATGCACACATGAGGCATAAAATGAACTGAAGGCCAATTTAGCTTACACTCTACACCTGCTATATATTAAACAGTACTGTTTACCAATAATGACATTTATGGGAGAACAGTGAATGATCACAGGATAATATCTGGACCAAAGACAACGATGTGACTACTCAATTCAGGAGATTACATACTGAGGAATTTCATAATTCATATAGGTTATCTTTCATTGTTACATCTAGCAGGCTACATTGGGTAGGCCATGTATTCCAGATTGGAGAAACAAGAACTACATGCATATATGAGTTTGCTGGGAAAGCAGCCAATGGAAGAGTGAAGAGGTGGATGGTAAAGTTGTCCCTGTACTTAACTAATTAAGCACTATGCCATTTAGGTGTATGGGGGAATGAATGTATAGATCCACATTTCCTTGACCTTGGCACTATATGGAGGTGAGTGGTCAGCTTCACGTCCCGGCCACTTTACCCCAGGGAAACAGACCCTAGTATCCACTGGATTTGAGGCTGGGTGGGCCCCACAGCTGGTTCTGACAGGGTTGCAGACATATAAGCTCTAAGGATGGTAGATGGACAGAACTTGTTCAGGTCATGTCCAACACCACACATTGGTATTCGTGATCTCTAATTTTCAGGTTGAAAGGATACAAATAAATTTAAATAGTACCAATGAATTTCTCTATGAAAATCTTACCACTGTTTTGTACACAGTCTTGAAATTGATTTTGTACTTTGAGCATCGTGGTGGGAAGTTGAAACACCAGGTATAGTCGCGCACCTGATAAGGCTTCTGCTCTGAGACTCGGACAGTGGTCGTGTACCTGTAAACAGTAGAAGATGCAAGAGAACTCCCTTTTCACTGTACAGCTATGTTGGCATTCTTCATCATACACAACACTGTTTTATTTCAGATCTGTATATATGCTTACAAGTTTAATCCCTCTTCACATCAAAACTTGTCAGTAATTTTCCTTACTCTGATTCATTCCAGTTACCCACCAAGCGTCACACATCTTAGGAATAGTGCTGACTGTATAGTGTCAGGGGGATAATGGATGGAAAACAAAACTGAAGTCCAGTAAACTTCTTGTTATCCAGCACATATGAGAATTGGGGTGTGTTGGTTACATGAGGTCATATAGATTCCTCTTTTAAAGCGATTTTCACCTTGTTTCAGTCTCAATACTTTTATTTCCTGTTTTAAAGCCAAAACACAATTTCACATTAGTTCTTGTGTAGCAGTCTTCTTAATGACAGAGCAGAGTGATTGGTAAACGATTCCAGATATACTGTAACACAATAAATTCAATAAGCCCCTACCATAATTATGCAACACTATGACTACAGTGACATCTGCATAAGGGAGGACAATGGGTGGGGCTACCAGCAGTGGGCGGGAGAACTACACTGTGCCAAGTGAACATATATGCATACTCTGTTTATCAAATAGCTGTATAAAAGTAGTTACTTAAGTTTTTCCCATAATATGCAAATTCCAGAGGCTTGAATACCAGATAACTGGGTGTTTACCGCACTTGGAGAAAAACCCATCTACATGCCACATACTACAAATACCTCCAACAGATTGGCTAAGGTAGATACAAGGTAAAAGGTAAAACTGTGAACCCAACCATTGCATAATGGAAATTTACTGTAGTGACTTAAGATTATGCAGCTATAAAAGTTCAACTGCATGCTCCAGCTAATTATCTCCTAAAGGCCTCTGGTGCTCAATGGACAGACCGCAGTCTGCAGGAGATAATTTTAATGACAGTTGCAACCAACTACTTATGCATGCTTTTTATATTACTACCAAGCATTTGGAAAGCAGAGATATGAATGAAATGGAAGAAACCAATTGTTTCATTCTATTCTTGTTATACAAAACAAGACTGACACACCACAATTAATCCCTGGTACTATAACAGTGGCAAGTGTGTAGTGAAATGAAGATGTTCTGTGACAGCTTACTCATCCACTGGCTTGGCTTCCAGTATTATCTCACTGCTATATACATCAACCCACACACCCTTTTCCAAATGATGTCTTTTTTATCTCTAGCTATGACACCGCCTTCCTGCTTGGAAATGGAAAGAACACTTGATATCTTTCTATAAAACATCACATGCCTTTAACAAGTTGAATGAAAACAACAAACCTAACACTAACTAACCAATCATTCAAATAACCAACAATCTGATAACAAAATTTGAAGATTCAACATTATTAATAACAAAATTTTCATTAGCAGCGATACTGAGCTTAGTATTTCCTCAAAATACATTTCAACATTATCCTCCCACATTCTTCTTAGCAATTCAATTGGTATATTTCCAAGTTCCTACCCTTTACTTGTTTTAATATTAACTCCACATCAAATTACACACTGATTTGACTTGATATCTTAGGTACATATGGATAATCTCTTTCCGTAGAGCAATTATTTCAGTACCAATCATATATTCTTATATTTACACCATCTCAGCAATCTAAGAAAGAGAGAAAATTACTTTTACCCTTAATACCAAAGATTCAACTCCTTATTTCAGTAGGGTCAAATTCAGAAGCAGAAAAGCTGCCAAAATTAATTTTGATAAGTGGGCTTACTATTTTCTTCATGAAGGAGGTTGAGGAGTAGGTAACTGACAGAGTAACTCGTAAGCAACATGGCTTATTCATCTAAATTTAACATGTAAGTGTGCCCAACCTAACAGCAAAAACATGGTACAGCTGATAAAAAGTAACTTACCATATTACTAATATGATGAAATGGCAATATAAGGTACACAAAAACCAAACTCAGGAATATGGGGAGACCATCTGTGAGCCCATCACAAATTGTTCAGCCACTCATGAGGTAAAGCCAGGCACTACTCATGTCACATCAGCCCCTGTACATTTGTACTTGAGGCATGGTCAAGAAACCAACAGCAATGTCGCTTCAGTATCACCTCAATAAATCACTGCTTATTAAAAATTCAATCAGCAGCATTTCAACCAGTGTCAAAATGCCATATGTGAGTTACACTCTGCGCAATAAGATTTCGTGTACAATACTTATGTAAAATAGAGTTATGTAAGAAGGGAACGGTGAAATTTCTGGATGTTATAATTTCACACAGAAATTCAAGCAATCATACATAAATTACAACAATCACAGTCTTTAATGGAAAAAGAAGGGGAGGGATGAATGTTCACCAAAGAGAGACTGGATGTAATTGGCACCAGGCTTGTACAGTATTTTCACAAAATCCTTCAGATGCCTTCACAGGAAACCACGATTTCAAAACTGTCAGCAAAAACTGCCACCTTGTGATATGACTAAGGGTATAGTTCTGTAACTGGCTCCTTTGGTCTGCTCCTGGTCGTGAAACTGACTCCTACATGTTCCTCGTTTCTGAAGAGGTAAATTCACAGAGCAGATGATACTGAACTTCACATAATCCAAGGCTAATACGTAAGTTCCACTACATAAAAACGGGTCTATGCTGTGCTATCTGACTGATTTTCTTTAAGGACATAATTAATTCTGAAAGGTATGTTGAGAAGATACTCCACCCATTTTCTAGCAGCCAACAGAACACCACCACCTTTATGCATTATTCATACAGCAATCCAGAGCATCCATGGATGCTTTGGGAGAAATATTTTGGGACAGAATTGTCATTAAAAAACGGTGGTTTCTTGGTTGGCAACCGTTCTCCCCTCCCTGACCTCACCTCTCGTGATTTTTATTTATGTGGAATCCTAATGCAAAACGTTTACAGACCAACCCTCACACAACTAAGAACTCACATACACATCATAAGGAAAGTGTATGAAAGAGATTCTCTCCATGAAATGCAATGTAATGTACCCAGTGTTATCTGCATAATGTTGCCTGAAGGCTTATTATCGACTAATTCCACTTTTCCCATAAGCTGTTTGCTAATTCTGATAGATCAAATATACAAGCAATAAATGACGCATACATGAAAGGTCTTATATATGGCTCAAATGTAAGCAAGCAAACTGAAACAAACCTCACACAAGGAAATGAGTTACATATTCTGAGTTTCATAACTAAGATAATGTCTTTATGTAACGTACAGCAAAGATGTGATGATCTGGTTACAGTTCACCCAGACTGAAATATGAAAAATGCTCTTCGTAGTTGAGTATATACTTCCAAGACACATGGCATTTAGGAAATCAGATGAGTCACTTTTGTTCAGAAAAAAAAACTTTACAGTTTCTTCAAACGTGCATTATTACATTCAAAAACAAGTAACATTTCTGTGTCTTCTAATGATGAACAAATGTACTGTCTCTCTATAGTTTTAAATAAGGGCTCTAACTAACTAACTTCAAGGAGCCAAGGCCTTCTTGAGAAGCCACAAATCACACAGGCACTTAAGAACTTCCCAATAATATATGGAACCTGAAGGTTCATTACGGTGTTCACAAGAGCCCTCCACTGTTCCCTATCCTGAGACAGATCAACCCAGTCCATACCACCCAATCCTATCTCTCTAAGACCCATTTTAATATTATCCATTCACCTACATCTTAGTCTTCCTAGTGGTCTCTTTCAATCTGGCTGTTCCACCAACACCCTCTTAGCATTCCTCTTCTCCCTCATTCGTGCTACATGCCCTTCCCATCTAAGCATCCTTGACTTGATCATTCTAATTATACTTGGAGAAGAAGACAAGTTATGAAGCCCTTCATTATGCAGTTTTCTCTGACCTCACATCACTTCCTCCCTCTTCAGTCAAAATATTCTCCTGAGCAGCCTGATCTCAAACACCCTCAGTCTATGCTCCTCCCTTAATGTCAGAGACCAAGTTTCACACCCATACACAACCACAGGCAACACTTTAGCTTTGTATATTCCAAATTCTTATGTTTTTAGACGGCAGACAAGAAGACAAAAGATTTTGAACTGTATGGTAGCAAGAATCTCCTGAATTTGATCTGCTCTTATCTTCTCATGAATCAAATTTTGTTTGTTACTTTCGTTCCCAAGTATCTGAACTGTGCCGCATTTTCAAAACATTTGTTTCCTATCTTTATGTCATGATTTTGCCCTGCATTCGGGTGATGAGACAGCAACGTATACTTAGTTTTCTCTGTGAGGGTGATTGTGGAGCAATTGGCGGAATGAAGATTGGCAGGGGCACCCGAAGTACTCAGAGAAAACCTGCCCCAGCGCCGCTTTGTCCACCACAAATCCCACTTGACCAGACCCGGGATCGAACCCGGGCCGCCGCGGTGGGAAGCCAGCGACTAACCGCTTGAGCTATGGCACGGCCATGCTCATACGCTTAGAGGGTAGGCTGGATTACAACGAAGCGAATGATTAAGAAGTGACATCGTAATTCTTAAAGCAGGGACTATATTCTTGAAACACCAAAATCACACAATTTCAAACTAACTTTACAAAAATCTTATAACAAGCAATCGGCACGAAGGGTCGAATTTAGTAAACAAAGGCAGAGATGCTTAACAATAATACTGAGTAACCAAAGCGCCACCGCCAATGCTGCGACAAGAAGGCAGTAGCAGCAGCAACAAACGACGGTGTTGGTGGCGGTGATGACGATGACAAGTGATTTAACACTGTATCCAGTCTCGTGATTTTGTGAACACACTATTATTGAATGCAAGAAACTGTTAACCACAACGATGGGATGACCTCTAGTGGTACAAGGTTCATAACAAATTTTACGCTTATCTGTCAACCGATTAAACATTATTAAGGACAGACACAGGGACATGGTACACAAGGGTGTCTTCCTCTAAAAATAAATCAGATTTAAGATGGGATAGACGAGTCAAA